CTGTGAGCTGAAACGGACTTGACAGCCCCTAACAGCACCCAGACGTGAAGGTAGGAATGCAAACAGAAAACTGTACCCAATGTTGCTTGGGATTGGCTTTTCCACTCACCCCCAAATGGGACCAACCAGAATGTCCATCAACAGATGGATGGATGGATGGATGGATGGTTGGATGGATGGGCAAAATGGGACACACACAAACAAGGGAGCACGACTCATCCATAAAGAGGAATGAAGTGCTGGTGCATGTCACTGCAGGAATGAGCCTTGCACCCATCATGCGGAGTGAGAGAAGTCAGCGGCAAAGGGACTATGATCTCACAAATATCATATGAAGCAAACAGATCTAAAAAAACCCAGAGTATTCATGATCACCTGAAATGGGAGAGAGGGGGGAAGGATACGGGCTTTTGCTTTGAGAAGCATTGAGTTGATGCTAACGATGGTGGAATAATTTGGAAGAGAATAGCAGTAATGGGGACGCAACATGAGTGCATACTCAATGCCATTCAATGGTGTGTTAGTTTGGATTGACCAGACGCAGGGGTCCTCAAACTTTTTAAACAGGGGGCCAGTTCACTGTCCCTTAGACCCATTGGAAGGCCAGACTATAGTTTAATAAAAAACTATGAACAAATTCCTATGCACATATCTTATTTTGAAGTAAAAAACAAAACGGGGCAAAAACACCCGGCGGCCTGGATAAATATCCTGGGTGGGCCACATGTGGCCTGCGGGCCATAGTTTGAGGACCTCTGGACTAGAGAAACAAATCCCTAGACACTCATGTGTGTGTAAGAGAGAACTTTTTTATCAAAGAGCAATTATATATTAAGAAAAATCCCATCCCAGTCCAGATCAAGTTCATAAGTCTGATATTAGTCCATATGCCCGATACTAGTCCATAAAGTCTTCTTTGAACTCACGCAGCCATTAATGATGCCGAATACAGAAAGATCACAGGCCAGTGGGTGGAGAGTCTTATGGATCCAGTGGCAGTGGAAGCATCTCAGCACTGGTGTGCGTCTTCACATGGCTCCTCCAGCTCCAGGGCTCTGGCTCCATCAGTGTGTCTCCATGCTGCTTGTCAACAGGAATGTGAAGCAGAGAGTGTGTATCTCACCTTCATGGAGGAAGATAGGAGTTCCCAGAATCCTCAGGAGAAGGCTAGGCCCACATTGAGGCCTCATTGGCTATGACCTGATTGACAGGCTAGACTCCACCCCTCCACTCAAGTTGACAGGAGATTGTGTAACTGCCACAAATGGCAAATGTGGAAATTGTCTTGGTGAATATTTTTGGCTTGTATTTTTTTACCACAATGTAAATAAATAAATTGGTAATTACAGTCTAGGGAAAAGAGACTATGTCTTTGCCAGGCAGACACTCACTAACCTTGGCAGAAAGGCTTGGTGATCTAAAACCCAACCCCACAAGACTGAAAACATGTATGCACTCCCACAGGAAGTGCATTTGCCAGAATACTTTTTCTGATTGGGTGTGTGCTTGAAGACCATGCTGAGATTTGATAATTCACTAGAAGGATCCACTGGACCTGAACGGTTGCTATATTCGTGGTTATGATATATTACAATGAAAGGATACAGCTCACAATCAGGAAAAGGAAAAGAAGGCACATTGGGCAGTATGTAGGAGACCCCTTTGGTTGTAAAATACCAATGGAATCATATAGACAGTATTGCATTCTCCCAGCAATGATGTATAACAACACACATGAAGTGTCTTCAGCCAGGGAAGCACACTTGAATCTTGGTGTCTAGAATTTTTACTGGGCATGAATCACAGGCATGCAGCACTTACATGACGGACCTTAGCTGCTCAGTGTCCAGCCCCACAGAGGTCAAACTAATAGTGCATGGCCCAAGGTCTCGTGTGTGCAAAGACACGTTTTATCAGGAAGGATACGCCCTGGGCTCAGAGGTCATATCCCAGGAGCAGTCCAGGGCCCAGTCCTGAAGACCTTTGGAGTGTGTAAGATTTGGGAAAATCAGGCCTGCTGAGTTAACCTTTTGCTGCCCAGCCCCGGAACCTGGTACATTACTCTCCAGTAAAAAATTTCCATGACTTTCCAAAGACTATGAGATAAATTCAAAAGCCTCAGACTGGTATTTGACCCTCTTATAAGCTGATTCCCTGTGACTTATCCAATGTCATTTTCAACTAGTTTTCCATATGCACTCTGCACTTGAACCAGACCCACCCTTTTGCTCCTATCTGAAAGACTCGCCTGGCACTTGTATGTGTCATCTTTTATGGTTGTCTACATTTTTACCATATAAAGTGTATCGCCCAACTAGAGCGGGAGACAATAGAAGCAGGGAAAGGGCATTTTATGCCTTTTAGTATCCAGCGGGCTTGAAGAGTTTCATGCATTACTACTCAATGAATATTCATTGTCTATTATTATGCCAGTGACCCTTGCTCAGGATGGCCTAGGACATCCTTCAGCCTATTCCACCTGTTACCCAATCCTATTCATCAACTAATATCCAAATCAAGTCCTGCCATTCCAAGAGATTTCCCCCAGCCAATCCGGCCCAGATGAGGGTATAGATTTTCTAAAATTCTGGCATGCTTACTGTCTATATAATCTCCTGTGACCTTTTTTTCCCTTTTTTGCATTCACACTTGAAATGTTATCTAACTGTTTCAGATGGCTAAAGCTCGTCTCCCAAATAGCCTTCTTCCTCCTATAGGAGGAGGACTGTCTCTTGAATTCTTTTCGGGGCCGAAGTCAGGGTCTTAACATAATCGGTCTTCAATAAATATGAGCTGGTCAAGGAAGGCAAAAAACGCCTTCTCTGGACCTTTTGTTGACTCCTGGCGGAGGTCAGGCAACACTCCATGAAGTAAAGGAGAGAGAATGAGGTGTTAAAAGACCGAACAAATGAAGCCATGAATCATTAGCACAGGACTTTCGCAAACACTAAACTTTCTATTCCAACCAGCAGTCCTTCACTTCTGAAGAAATTTCTCCGAGCCCATGGTGAGGAGGACAGCTTCATTGATGCTCTGGGTGATGTAATCTATGTTGTTGGCGTTAACGGAGGTGAAGTTAATCCGACCATTCATGGGGATGTAGATATGCTTCTTCTTGACCAGGTATTCCAACTGCTGGGCTGGTGAGAATGAGAGAACTTCAGACCTCAGCGGCCACCTCATTGCTCACCTCTAGCCTAGTGTGCATGGTGAGGGGTAGGGATTGTCAGCATTCGGGGGGTGGGGGGGTGTTCCAAGAATCTCGAAGGCAGCCACACTTTCTTCAGAAAAGAACCAAAGATTGGAGCAAAGCTAGGGACTGGGCACCTGGTCAGGGAAGTTTAATGCTTAGAGACGGACTCAGCGTCAGTAAAGAAGGACCCCCCCTTCCCCATCTTAGACACTTACAGTTGAGTCCAAGATAGCTGTGTGTCCCCTTCTGATCCGTGATGTGGTCCCAGGAGCCGGGGGTTCCCAGCAGCCGAAGCTTCTCCTTCACCTTTTCCTTGATCAACATCATGTTCTCTACCACCCTCTTTAGACTGTACTTCCTGCCAAGGAAGGACAACAGTATGTGCGAGTGTGAGCCCCCCACCCCACCCCTGCTCTCAGAACCATCCCAATCTTCTTCCTTCAAAACCCCCAACAGAGTGCTTGACCTTAAGCCTGAACGCTGGCTGGTTTGGAAATGGAGGGAGAGGTGATTCTATTAATTTAAGGAAGCCACAAAGGCTAATAAGGAGTTTTTGCCCCAGCAAAAGTCTCTGATTCTCTACAATATTCTTCAGTCAGGAAGAATTCAAATAACTCCACTAATCTGCAACCCAAAAGAATACAGACCTATCACCCACACCCCACGAGATAGGGTGGCTCTTGCCCGTTGCTGCTGATCATTGTTATTGAGTCCATTCTGGCTCCTGGGAGCCAACTGTTCCACGGGATTTTCTAAGTCGTGGCCTTTTGGAAGCAGATCACCAGGTCTGCTTTCCAAGGGCCTTTTGAGTGGATGTGAACTACCAGCCTTTCAGCTGTGAGTGCTTCAGAGTGAGTGCTTAAGGTTTGCACCCCCTGGGGCTGCTCAGTATACGGTAGAGCCCTCGGTAAATGGTGGCGAAAGAATTGATGAATTAATGGAATAAAGAGGCGAGTGGTTACAAGTTGAGCTCCTAACTGTAAGGTCAGCAGTTTGAAGCCACCTGCCGCTCTGAGAGAGAAAGACGAAGCTTTCTATGCCTGTAAAGAGTTGAGAAAGAAAGAGGAAGCCTTTTGTTCCTGTAAAGAGTGACAGTCAGGAGCCGATACCAAGAGCTCGGTGGAGGGCAAATGCTTTGAGAATGATGATGGCAGCAAGTGTGTAAGTATACTTGACACAATGGATGGATGTATGGATTGTGATGAGTTGTACGAGCCCCCAATAAAATGATTAAAAAAAAAAAAGAACTATAGTCTTGGAAACTCACAGGGGCAATTCTACCACCCTACAGGCAGCTCTGTGAGTCGACATTGACTCGGTGGCAGTGCATCATGGGTAGAAAGAGAAGCATCCAGGCCAACCCTGTGAATCAGTCGGATAGGTATCTAGAAGTGCTGCTCTTCCCCTCCTGCCCCCACCTTTCACCTTACCATTCTCCCTGTAGAGCAGGACTACAGAGGATCGAGGTGATGATACGAGGCCCCAAAGTGGGAGGGTTAAACCACAGGTCATTGGCGAATTTGACCATCTGGGAGAGGACGCGCTGCAGGTACTGGTTGCTGAGTGTCACCACGGCCAGGACCCCCACGCCTTCATCTGCAGCATTAGGACAGACATCCTCATCCTTCTGTCTTCTCCTTCCCCCGGGACGGGGCTCTTCCTCCAACCTTGCGGAAGGTGGAATGGATTGAGCCCTTAGCCCAGGACTGGCTGCATCTGACCCTAGGAAGTTGTTAGAAGCAGTTCTTCGAAACAAATGAACATAAACAAGACTCATGGACTTGACCGATCACTAAGTCTTGCGCCCTCATCTTATTCAGGGAAAAGAGGCCTAAGGGGGCAAAATTACTTAGCCACAGTCTGCTTTTAGGAGCAGAGCTAGGACAGCATCATAGCACCCAACTTCTGGCTCCGTGAGCATTCCTTCTGCCTCTGTGGGGTGCTCTCTGGAGTCCTTGGCTCTCTCCCGAGGTCAGGAGATGTCAGAGACAGCTTTTGTGTCATGAGTGTGGCACCACTTTAGCACCATGCCCACCCATTTCCTTCTGGCTGATGCCCATACCATACCATAAATGCCAAAATTCTTGGACAGAGACTGGCTGCAGAAGAATTCAAAGCCTTGAGTCACAAAATAACGTAAGATTTTACTGTCCTCATTCGGGTCACCAGAGGAGAAACCTTGACTGGGAACATCAAAAAATGGGAAAATCTGCTTTCTCTGCAGGAGAAAAGAGGAGGAAATAAAATGGTATTCCAAATGGGATGAGGAAAGGATGAGGCTGATGGGAAAGGTGGGGGATGGCCAGAGGCATGAAGGGAAGAGGAGAAACTGGGCTCACCTTCATGGTGGACATCAACTTGGTCCACTGACTTTGTGTCAAATTCAAGTCGGCAATGTTCCCAATTGCAAAGATACTGCCATGTTGGGCCTGCTGCAGGTAGAGACAGTCTCTTGAACCCCCTCCACTGCCAAGCAGAAGCGATGACACCGGGGCATTGGGAGGAGAAGCCTGTTGATGCCTGCTACCGGGCTGGACAAACACAAGCCTAGAACAGGCTTTGACTAATTTGAGGGGTGATGGAAAAGGAAGGACATTAAGGTCATAGACTAGGTCCTGGGAGGATTTCCTGAGTGGCTCCTTCTACCTTCATCACATTGATGAGTATGTTGAGGTCCATGCGCATCTGCTTGGGGTCCCAGAAGGTGTATTCATGGACTGTGAAGCCCATGTCCTGGAAGACAGGTCCGTGCAGTTCTGTAGGAACATAGCCCCCCATCAACTGGTTACATGGGAAATGAAGAAAGGGAGGGTCCCAGCCAAACGTGGGATAATTACCAGACAAGGACAAGCAGATCTTGGCTTGACCACCATTTTTCTTGTGATAGAAATGGAGAAGGACAATAGTGAACACGGTCAATGGAGTGGGACTCAGCTAAGGGTAGGCTGTCCTGGCCTTCATGAAGTGATCATTGAAAATCTGAGCGTTGCAGCAGAGTGTAGTGAAGAAACCAGATGGTGCCCAGCTATCAGAAAGAATGGTGCCTGGGATCTTAAAGGGTGGTCATAAAACGAGCAGTCGTGAGGTGAGCTCTCCCCTAAATTCACATGGAAAAGAGCACACCAACCTGTGTGGTCCAAAGATTGTAAATGATAAAACCCAGGATCAGAGGAGAGATTTGTATTAGAAGGTGAATTCTGAGCACCTGGTTGGCAGAAGGGTATGGATGACAAGGAAAGCCAAAAAATCTTGTGATGGGAGAGTCTTGCCCTCAGACGGAGTAGACTGGAAAATGGATTACTTTAATCCCCCTGATCATCCCAGAGAGAGGAGGGATCACTTGGGGGGTGGGGGAGGCGCGGGATCTGTCTTGACAATTGTACTGGGGGTCGAATAATCATGGGTCCTGCCTTGACGGCCCTGGGGAAGGCCTTAGACCAGGGGCCAGCAAACTTTTGAGATGGAAGAGATGATCCTGTCCCTCACAACCATTTAAAAACTATTTGAAGGCCATAAAGACATTTTTTAACAAACAAATGAAATCACCATTATCTGAATAATGTCCTTTCAAGGAAACTATGATTGTTTTAGGTTCAGTTTCAATCTTACTTCCAAGAGCAGCAGGTGTGGCCCCTGCCCTAGACCAATCGTGTGCGCTCCTCTGTGTATCACAATGTGCGGGTCCCAGGCACGACCCCACTCCTACTTCAGTAATCCCACCTGTGACTGCGATGTATTGATCTGCCACCAGCCAAGCATTTGTCACCTCCATGTCCTTATACCACTCTCCATCAGCAAACCTTGGACGCCATTATGACCTCCTATGAATGGCTCCCTCGCCTGGATGACCGTCTTGGCCGTTGTCTTGTCTTTTTCCCATTGACGACTTAATAAGTGGCCGCTCATTTTTTTTTTTTTCATGAAAAGAAACAAAGGAAGGATCTTCTGTCTCTCCCACCCCTTCCCCACCCCCACCCCCACCTTGAGTAAAACTCACCTTTTTGAAACGAGGCGATATAAACGACTTTGGAGTCCTGACGCCAAGTTCTGAGAAAACGGGCCCCCAGCTGAAAGGCACCATTGTCACCCACTGTGTGCACACCCCCTACCTGCCAGCAAAAAATAGATATACAGAAACCAAGCCTTAACGAGAGTCAGGAGAAAGACCCAGTCAGAAAGACGATGGCCCTAGGAGAGTGCAAGAAGACGCCAAGGACCTCTCTCAGAGCCATCAGGGGGAGTCAGCATCACCAAGGCCCCAGTTTCAACCCCCTAGCCTCCAGAACCATGCACAGCGCCAAGTGCTGGGGTCTAAGTTTCATCTGCTCTCAGTCACTCACTCGTGTATGCACGTACTCATGCCACAACTTATTGACCTCGGAGATGCAGGGCATCTAACCCGAATGACTGGCCAAGTATGATTTAGAAGACCTCTGACCATGTCATCTGACAAATTGCACCTTGGTTCTTCAGAAGGTGAATCTTTATGTTTTTAAAAAGGGTTGTTGAGGCATACAGTAAACTGCGTATGTGTAACATGTACATAATAATAGTACAGTACAGCCTGCAAAAGCTGAAGGCTGTGTTGAAGAAAGAAGATTCAAATTGTTTCTACTAATGAGTTAGAATGAGGGGGGTTGGAAGAGAGACCCAAAGCCCATCTGTGGACAATGTAACATCCCCCCACAGAGGGGTCGCAGGGAAGGGATGACTCAATCAGGGTGCAGTAGAGCACCGATAGATCATACAATATACCGCTGGTTCCTTGAGGTTTCCTCATCCACCCACCCCCACTATCATGACCCCAGTGCTGCTGCCCACTCTGGACTAGACGGGCGCATGTACCTAGGTATAGGCAAGAGAGAAAGTTCAAAACACAGGAGCCCAGGAGCAGGAGTGGGAATAGCGATACCAAAAGGGTAGGGAGAAGAGGGGGAGAGGAAGGGAGAAAGGGGGGAACTTATTGTAATGAATGGCACATAACCACACACACCTCTCCAGGGGGAAGAACAACAGAAACCAGAGGGGAAGGGAGACAGCGGTCGGGGTGAGATATGAAAATAATAACAATCTATAATCTATCAAGGGGCTATGAAGAGGGCGGAGAGGAAAAAAAAGGGCTCAACAGAAAGCAAATGTCTAGAAAAGAACGATGGCAATATATGTACAAATATGTCTGATACAGTTGATGTGTGGATTGTAACAAGAGTTGTAAGAGTCCCCAATACAATGATCTTAAAAAAAAAAAAGGTGTGATAGAAAAGTGGTAAGATGCACCCCGTCAAAGGTGCACAACCTGGAGACCCAGCACAAGAAGGCGGCCCCCACAGGCTTCTCTGTCGTAATAGAACCACCCAAGAGTCGATAAGTCTTTCATTAAAAGGGCAAAAGACCCCCAACTACCAGGACCCCAGTTT